AGCAATCAGAATACCACTCCAGGATCAGGGTAAAGAGTAACAGTCACTCAGTTTTGCTGGGGCAATACTCCCCCAGAATTACATTACGTCATTGCCGTGGCAAATCAGTGTTTGCTGTGGTGAAGCATATGAGTACTGGCACGAATCCTCTCTCTCATAGGCCAAGGATAGGGAGCTAGCTGAGGCTCAGCAGCAACTGAGACAGAAGGTAAAACATTTATATATAGCATCCCTGCTAATGTGAACGTACAACTTCAGGAAGAAGAGCTCCAATCCAGTGAGAGAGAGAAACAGACAGTCAGACAACAGCTCATCAGCTCACAGCAGCAACTGAGACGGAAGGTAAATTGGCATGTGTCTACGTAGGTGATGACTTTGTGTTTCTGATTTTAGGCAGGAAGAGTTAGCTAGACAAGGAACAGACAGCAGACTATCAGGAGAGAACAGCAGCAGCTTCAAGCAGAGTTAGCTGAGACTCAGCACCAACTGAGACAGAAGGTGAATAGTGATAACTGCAGGATGTGTGTCTGTGACTAGAGGTCCTCCTGACTGCAGGAGGAACAGCTGCGATCAAGTGAGGCTCTAGTGGCTGACTTCCAGAAGACCCTCCAGCAGAGAGACTCAGAGCCGACTCAGAGGACAAAGGTCAGTCTTACTGGCTGTGAATAATTACTCCACACATTCCTCTCAGACTCAGTCTGGTTGTCTAGCAACAGCTGTATATACCTAATCATTTACCTTCTGACTTGTGTATATACTTTAGATATTAACTCTTTGTCCACTGTCTGTGAATACTGCTATTTGTTACTCCACCCTAACACACCCAGTCTAGTCTTCTACCAACAGCTGTACCACATTCCACACAAGTCAATATTAAACCCAGAAAGGTTTGCACATTAAATATTTGTTCACACTTTCACTATCATGCAGGAGCTAACGATGCCTTTTAATATGTCACACAAATACGCAAAAGTGAAAATATTAATTTTGGGATATGGTGAATGGTGATCGATTGAAATTGAAGCCATGCCTATTAATTAATGTTGCCCATTTTGTGATTTTGAAAAACTATGTTTAATTATTATGTGAGTCGTGTGACGGATATCGTTCATGATTATGATGTCATTACATGTCATGTGATCTCCCCTCAGCTCACTGTGCAGTGTCATCGTAAGAAGACAGCACCATGTAGAATGAGGAGAGGATCTGCAACAACTGATGGTCGATTTGCATACTTCACCCCACGTGACTCCAACTCAGTCTACCAATATGAATGTAGTACAGAGAAATGGGAGGAACTTCCTTCATGTCCATATCAGAACTCTGGACTAGTCATCATTGACAGGGAACTAACTGCTGTGGGGGGAGATGGATGGATCTCGTTTACTAACAAACTATACACACTACGACAGAGGAAATGGGTTGAGAAATACCCTCCAATGAACACTGCACGTTCCTCACTGCTGTAGTTAGTACATCTGACGGCGAATACCTCATTGTGATTGGGGGGTTGTTGGTGGTGGTTGGACTGCTACAGTTGAACTATTTCAAGTGAAGAGCAGAAGATGGTACCAACTAACAGACTTACCACAACCTCTCCCTCCCTTCAGCCACAATATGTGGTGATCTAGTACATGTGGTAGGACATGGTGGTGACGGCTACTCGTGTTCTCTTGCAGCTCTACCATCCAGTGACAAACCAATCCCACCACAGTCAATACCACACCTCATATCATGGAAACCTCTCCCTCCTCTACCAGTGACAGGCTCAACAGCTGCCACTCTCTGTGGACAGCTAGTACTCATTGGTGGCAGTCGAGGTCTGGGTCACCAGTCAACTCCATTCACCAGCTAGTGGATGGACAGTGGGTGGAGATTGGCTCTATGACTAGTGATAGGTACTCGTGTTTAGTAGCCAGTCCATCACCTGACAAGATCATCATAGTGTGTGGATATGGAGCAGCGGACAGTGTTGAAGAATGTGTTGTTGTTTAGTTACAAGTACGTTTTTTGCAATATTCATTGTTCAGTATAATTACAACAAGATGTGATTATGCGCAGGCTGTTACAATAATATTCTGACATAACTTCCTATTTTCTGCACACAAAATATGTGATATGAATTACTTGTTTGAAGATTGGTTAAGGACGTTGCCATGGAGACTAACAATGTTCTGGGCCTGCAGTAGTAGCGGTCTGTCAATCATGTGACCTTCGTACACAAATGCCCCCTGGGGAACAGAGGGGTTAAACATATAATACATAAGGGTTAATGGTGAGTGGGAGAGACAACGTAGAT